ACTTTTTCCACATGCTGGGAGACCACAAGTAATATAAAGTTTTGAACTTGAAGCTGGCGATGCTACAACTGGTGGTAATGCCAATGAAAGGATATCAGATTCGTGACGACTCCATGAATGAGTATCCATATCTAATTCTTTACAAAGATTTTCTTTGTTAATTTCTAAACCTTTTTCAGTGCATTCTTTTACACACATTAAAACTTTGGTTTGAACTCCATTATCAAATTGTTCCCAATGGCTTTTTTCTGAATCTTTTGGCTTTACTGAATACATTTTTCTGTTTTCTAATAAATATTTACCATTTTCATCTAATAAATATAAAACTCTACCTTCTTCAATAAAATGATTAAACCATACTGTATTTTCTTGGAGATTATTTTCCTTTCTAAATGTTTGGTTACGTTCTAATAATTGTTTTTTGATTAAATATACAGTTTGTAAAAGACTATCGTTAAATGATTTTTGATCTTGATTTGGTTCGATTGACTTTAATTGAATAAAACTTCCCTCTTCTTGTTGTTGTTGTTGTGAAACAATAATTGGTGAAACTTTTCCATTATCGCTTGAGATGGTAAATAGTGGTTTAAGGTCAATTTCGAAATCATATTTTACAATATGTGGTAAAAGGGAGCCACATAATTCAAAAACTACGGATTGAACTTGAGATTTCTTTAAAAACAATGCTTCAATAGATTTTGGAATGGAGCCATTTTTGAATGATGAAACTTTTTGGTAGTATAACTCTTGATTTTCTGATAGAGTAACCTGTTCATCTTTAGATAGAATTTGATTGATATAGTCCAATACAGGTCCAGACTTTGGATCATTTAAAGCAAATGGTGAAGCTCTTGGTTTGGCACTAACATAAAGATTACCGAATGAGTCAAAGTATTTAAAAACTTGAATATTCATACCATTCCATTTATTTGAAATATAGTAGTTTTTAATTTCTTTAAATTCTTTAATAATGGCATCTTTTGATACTGTTTCAGAGGCAGTTGATGGAGATGATGGTGTTTCAATGTTGGTATCAGAAGATACAACAGTTTCTTTTTGTAAAATATCATTTTTGAATGGTTGAAGTTTTGGAACTGAATAAATTAACTGGTATTCTGCTAATTCATGTTCATCAACCTTGACAATTACAAAATCATTTGTCTCTTTATTTGTAACCATAGTAATTGGTAATCCTTGATTAAAATTATCGACATTCGATTGGGTATTACAATTTTTAATATCACAATTTAATAATACAGAACATTTCTTAATTTGTTCATCTGAAAGTAATTGTACTTTTTTATTTGGTGCTTGTTTTGATTGTTGTTGTTGTTTTGGTTGTTGTTTTTGATTTGATTGTTGTTTTGATTGTTGTTTTGATGTTTGATTTTCATCAATAGTTAAATTTGAAATATCCGGAATAATATCCATTTTTTTATTATTATTATTTATATTATTAAGAATAGTTATTAATGAATAATTATTATTTAATGATATTTATAATATATAAAAAGAAAAAAAAAAAAAATTTAAAAATTAAAAAAAGAAAAAAAAAGAAAAAATCTTTTTAAATTTTTCTCACTTTCTGTTTTTTTTTTATTTTGGGTCAACATTTTTTTTTTATAGTTTTATTTGATATAATTTATAATCTAATTTTAACAAAATATCTTTCAACGAAAAAGAAAAAAAAAAAAAAAAAGATATTTATATTATTTTATTTATATATATTTGTTTTAAAAAAAAATGAAACAAACAAAAATTTTATAATATTTTTAAAAAAAAAAAAAAAAAAAAAAAAAAAAAAAAAATTTTTAAATTTTAAATTTTTTTTTTTAAATTTTTTTTTATAATAATATTTATTAATATGAAAATTAATTAATAATATATAATTTTAAAAGGCCAAAAAAAACAAAAAATAATCCATTACGTCACCAAACACGCGCTATTGTGAAAGCATCACCGATTAGTCGAAGGGAACAAAATCATCAACAACTTCAAAACCAAAGGCAAATTCACAGATCAATAATTTCAAAAAATAATAATAATACAAATAATAATAATACAAATAATAATATTAATAATAGAAGACAAAATTTATATCCATCCTATGCAGACCAACCAGATATATTAAGAGCATCACAAAAAGATGAATATTATAAAAAATTATTTGAAGATCAAATTTTTGAAGTATTGACCACAGTTATTGGTCCAAGAGTTTTAATGAATAAACAAAGTGAATCAAAATTATTAGCAAATACATTATATTATTTATTGACAACTATGATAGGTGCACAGACTCTTGGTGAAGAATATTGTAATTTAAGAAAAATAAAAGATAATACCTTTTCGATACCAAATATAGCGGTATGCATTTAAAATATCTAATAAAACTTTATATTTATTAATTTATTTTTTATTATTTATATAAATTTAGGATCGAACTCAATTATATATATTTCATTTATTGGGACCTTATTTAATTAAAAAAGCATTACCAAAATTATTTTTAAAATATCCAAAGCTTTACATACTAAAAGAAATGTTTCCAAAATTAGAAAGATTACATTTAGCACTATTTTATTTTAATGGTTCATATTTCGAATTTTCTAAAAGGTTATCAAACATCAGATATATTTTTAATCGAAAAATAGATCAAAAAAGACCAAAATATGATATATTAGGTTTATTAATCATAATACAATTATTATTATCAACCTTTATGTACCTTAAAGAAAATTCCTTTTTTTTAAAATCAAATCAAAATGATACTGAAGAAATTGAAGAATTGTAATTAATTTATAAATAAATAATTAAAAAAATTATTAAATTTAATACTAATTTTTTTTTTTTTTATTTTTTAGGAATGAAAAAAATTTAACAAATGAAAATAATAATCAAGATTCAGAATCAGATGCAAAATGTACACTATGTTTAGAAAAAAGAACCCATACTACTGCCACTATTTGTGGTCATTTGTTTTGTTGGCACTGTATTACTGAATGGTGTAATAATAAAGAACAATGTCCTGTTTGTAGATGTCCTATGGGTATTAGAACTTGTATTCCACTTTATAACTATTAATAAATTTTTTTCTAATAATATATTGGTTTTGAATTTTTTTTTCTTTTTTTTTTTTTTTGTTTTTTTTTTTTTTTTTTTTTAAAAAATCAAAATGCCATTATTTTTGTGAAAGGATGAAAGATTTTTCCTTAATCATTGCAACTCAATCATGATTTTGGTTGAAAATATTTTTTTTTTTTTTTTTTTTTTTATTATTTTTTTTATTTACAAAACCAAAATTTGCAAAGATTAAAAAAAAAAATAATAATACCTTGAAAACAATCAAATGCAAATGAAAAATAAATAAAAGTTTTTTTTTTTTATTTTAAAATTGATTATTGGTTCGCAGTCAATGTGTTGGCAATAATCATTATTTATTTTATTATTATAAAAAAAAATTAAAAATTATATTAAGGGCTTTTATATTTGATCAAAATATCTTAAGAAATTTTTTTTTTTTTTTTTCAAAAATAATATAATTTTTTTTTTAAAAATAATGTAATTTTTTTTTATAATATGGGTTTTAAAAAAATACAATTTTTTTTTTTTCTTTTTTTGTTTTAAATCATCACCACAAAAGTTTTGTTAATGTATTTGTAAATTGTATATGTGTTTCTAAAAAAAACCTCAAAAAAAAAAACCTCACACTCAGATTATAATATTTTTTTTTTTATCAGAAACCTTTTTTATTTTTAAAATTTTTTTTTTAATTAATTCAAATTATAATAATATTTTTTTTTTTTTTTTCTAGTTTTCATATTATTTTTAATATATTTTTTTTTCTTCAAATCATTATTATTATTAATATCCATTAATTACAATATATATACATATAATTAAATAATAAAATTTAATTTATTAAAAAAAATAAAAATTCAATAATGGTTCCACAACAACAAGAATTAATATGTTCATTAGAACTTGAATGTTCTAGAAAGTTTGGGAATAGTAAATATAGTTTTTATTATCCAATACAATTAGAAAACTTTCTAATTAATTGTTGGAAAACTTCTACTAGTTCTGAAAGTCAACTTACTGCTCCATCAAATTCTTTTTTAAAGTCTTCATCATCATATAATGGTAATAGTAGCTCCGCATCACCAGCTGATAGATTCTGTTGTATCATATATGAAAATGGTTCTGTTGTGCTTCCAAGTGTTGATATTCGTATGCGTAACTTTAGTTGGGCTAAAACATTTTCAAAAAGAAATGATTTTTCTAAAGAAGAATTAGAAACCTTATTAAGTGATATTTATACTCAATGTTGTTATCATTAATTAATATATAATAATAATATATATAAATAACAATAATATAAATAGTAATAATATAAATAATAATAATAATAATAATAATTATAATAATAATAGTTTAATTTTAGTAAATATGTAAAAAAAAAAAAACCTCAAATGTGTAATTAGTAAATATGTACAAAAAAAAAAATTCAATATCCGACTTGTATAATAGTCTATTAAAAAAATTAATAAATTTAAATCGAAACCTTTTTTTTTTAAACTCAAGGTATAAAAAAAAAAGTAATTAAATAAACAAATATAATTTAATATAAAAATAATTTTATTTTTTTTTAATATAATAAAAATATCTTTTTTTTTTTTTTTTTTTTTTTTTTTACAGTAATTTTTTTACTAAATTAAATTTATTAGTTTTATAGTTTTTAATGACCATAGTTTTTTACTATATTATAGGTTGCAAGTACAAAGGAACATAAACTAATCAATAAGATTAATATATAGAAAACTTTGTTTGAGAAAACAGATTTTTTAAGGTTGACTACATTGTATTTTTCTGCGAGCATTTTGTTACTGAAATAAGAAATGAATACAGGGAATATAAACATAATACAGATACCAAAGTATGCACCGGTAATATTTACTAATAGACCAACATCTCTTGTACAGAAAGCAATAATGACAGGAATTAATGAACTTGCTAATGAGAAAATTAAACTTCTTATTTTAGGATTCATTGAATCTTGTTTCCATGTGATTAATAACATTAAATTGTTTCTAAGAGTAATTGAAATTAAAACATAATTTGTTGATAAAGTAAATACTGGGAAAAGTGCTAAAAAGTCTGCAAAAAATTTAATATCTATAAATTAAAAAATAAATTAGTATATTGAAAAAATTATAATTTTTATTTTCCATAAAGTGGTTTATAAATGACACTTACTATATGATGTAAAATTATAAATAAATAATTGTTGTATTTGGCATGGAATAAAAGTATGAATATTTCCAGACATTGGTTCACAAGTTGGGTTTGTAACATTACCAAATGCAAATAATGAACTAATACAGAGTGTAGCATATGCAGCAAAAATTAAAATAAAATCTAAACCCATTAATAATGGTAGTTTATTTTTTTTTCTAATTGGAGTTAAAATAGATGGTAATGAATGATGGCACATAAACGAATAAATTGAAACACCAAACATAACTGGTAAATTACTAAAAAAAAAATAAAATTAATAAATTTTTTTTTTATATTATAAAATAATAAATCATACTTACGAAATATCGAAAATTTTAACATCTTTTATTGTTGAACCATTTCCTTTTGCAACAAAAATAATAGATAAAATAATCATTAAAAAGAATGCAAAGTTTCTTGTGAATAGTGTTAAAATTTGAAGGTATTTTGTTTTTTGAAAATTAAAGAGTGATAATGGCGCGGCAAAACAAGCAAATAAAAATAAAAAAAAATAATAGGCTGTACCATGTAAACCGTTTTCTGAACTAGTTAAATGAAGTTTCCCAATTGAAAAGCTACCTGAAACAGTTGCTAGTGATTTTGGAACAGTTGCAGCATAAATGGATAAGTCACCAAAAAGATATACAACTAAAGCTGCATAAAAAAGTTTATATCCGATTGGACCAAAGTAAATTTTTGACATTTGACCTACTTCTATTCTTTCTTTAATTTCAAACTCTGATTCAAAAGATCCTATTGATGATGGCACACCACCTATATGATCTTCGTCATTACTATCTTTTTTATCGCAGTCATCTTGCTCACTATTTAATTCATTAATTAAAGATGATTTTTCGTCAATTTCTTTTTTTTCATTTCTTAATATAAAATTTGCTGCAGCTGATGCTTCTATAATCCAAGTTGTTGTTATAAACCTATATTATTGTATTTATGTTTTTAATTAGTTTTTAATTCTTCTTTTATTTTATAAAATACATACGCTAGGAAACCAATAATAGCTAAAAATAATGTACCTAGTACCAATCCTGCCCTTGAAAAACCATACGGTAATGATAAAGCACCTACACCAACAACCAAGTTAAAAATGTAAACGAATGCTGTTTTTTTATTGTATGTCGACCCATCATCTACTCCTCCTGCCATTTTTTTTTTTTATGATTTAATGATTTTATTAATGTTTATTACAAAATATCTAAATTTTTACTAATTTTTAAATCATTTAAAAAAAAAAATTTTTGTTTTTTTTTTTTTATAATTTTTTTTTAGTTTGATCTAAAAATAAATAATGATAATTTATTTATTATTTATATTACAAAAAGAATATCTATAATCAATTCGTTGCTTTATAAACAAATAAAAAAATAAAATTTTAAAAAAAAAATTTAAAAAAAAAAAAAAATTATAAAAAAATTAAAAAAAAAAAAAAAAAATAAATTTAAAAAATAAATTTTATTTTATTTTATTTTAAAAGACCAAAATTGGTATTCTAAAATTTCCTTTTTTTTTTTTTTATTTTTTTTATTTTTTTTATTTTTTTTATTTAATTTGTGGGATTAGCATTATTCGTATTTTTATTTAAATTTAATAACTATTTAATAGATAAAAATTAATTAATATTAATATAAATATTAAAAAAAAAAATTAATTATTTTTTTATACATACATTTAATAAATATTGATTTTTATCAATAGAATTATTGAAATTTGATATTATTAGATTTTTATTTGCAACTAAATGAAAAATATTTGTATTAATATCTTGATTATCTTCAATTAAATCTAAAATTTTAAAAATTTTGTTAGAATATTTTTTTTTTTTTTTTTTTTTTTCTTAATTTTTTTTTTTACCTGATAATATTTTTAAAGTACAACATTTCGAGTTTAAATCATTTAATAAATTTGAAAATGTTAATGAAGAGTTTAACATTGAGTTTATATTTGATTTAAAAGGTTCAGGAATTGAGTTTTTATTTGGATACAATGAGAGATAAAGTTTTGCTAATTGATTTAAAGTATTTAAAGTTAATTGAACATTACCAATTTGATTACTTGAGATATTTAAACATTCTTTAAATTTATTCTTTGCGATTTCTGGTGAATGAACTATTGATAAAACACCTTCTAAGAATAATGATGCACATCTAAGAGTTAGTTGTGGATGATTTGAAAGTGTTAAAAGATAATCTTTTACTAATGTTGAGGCTCTTTCAATTTCACCAAGTTCTAAACTTAAAAAAATTAATCTAATGATACATTGAATTTGATTATCAAACTTTGTGCATTTCTAAAAGAGAGAGAAAGAGAGAGATAAAAAAAAAATATAATATTATTATTATTATTCATATTATTCATATTCATATTATTTAAATTACTTACATTTATAGCTAAATTTAAATGATCTTTTGATAAATTATAGTTTTTAATTGATTGTAAAAATAATGAAGATATATAATGAATTGTTGATTCATAGCCATTATTAAATAAAGTTGGATAAGTTTGAAATATTTCGACACAATTTTTAATTTCTTGAAATGCTTGATCTAAATTCATTTCTGTTATATAAATGTAAAATAAATTTTCATTTACTAAAAATTTTAATCTTATTAAAGCTCTAGATTCTTTCATTTGTTGCGGTGTGACATTTGATTCTGATGATGAGTAAATAAATTTTACTTGGTTATCGATTAACTGTTGTGATTTATCTAAACAAAAC